TATAAGCGAATAAGTCGGAATAAGTCCAACACTAACACTTTGAAGCTGCTCGCAACAATGAGATCTGGCACGCCACATTTCTCGGGGTACAGCAGAGAAGTAACCCGAGTTACCCGAGAGGGGTAAGTTCAACCTCGAAAGTCACAAGCGGATGTCTCGGACACGACATCTGTCTACGGCCCCACCCATGACCACCAGACTCCGATCCAGGTCTAGTAGGCGACCCATTGCGAGTAGCAGCAGTCATCGAGTAAGCAAAACACTAAAAAACACAGTAAAATTATCACGATGTGACATTAATACCGAAACACAAGCGCGCTGTGGACCTTTGCTGTGCCATAGAAAGATACGGTTTCTCCACCCCTAGTGAGATCTCATCATGGCTATGTCGTTGTCGGTGTGATGGCAGTAACATTTTATCATGTGATTTATTACCGCAGGACATCAAAAATTGTAAACTCCCACCCTCCGGCGTGACCACTAGATGATGACACGGCGGAGGATTTGATTCTATTGCCTAACTGAACTTCCAACTCACTTTATGCAAACTGGGGCTGCAATATTAGCAGCACACTCTAAAATGATAAGTGGTGGGAAATGGGCTCCAAGGTTCATCAGAGGTCCACCTTTTATAAAAAGTTCAGAATAATGCGAAGGCGTTGGCCAGGGGCAAACATAAATCGAAGCGACCAAAGTTCTCACCGCGAGCTAAAATAAAAAGTAGTGTACGTTCGTAAATAAAAACCAAATACCGTTCAAAAATTGCTTTATAATTTGAACAGGTTGTTATATTGCCGTGGGCTATATTTATCCACCTAAAATACTCGCAGATGGAAAGAAAATTAAAATAATCTTGAAAATAACCATCTGGGTTTCGCATGGAGGGCCATGACGCACGAGATTCTGATCAACCTCCGCTAGGTGGCGACAGCGACAGGGCATAGCAGACATCCCTTTTTCTCATGAAAATTGCACTCTGGGTACGAACATGAACATGAACATGAGCAATAGTATTCGTGAGGGTGTGACAGACGTTCATCTCATAAACACTTACAGATGTTCGCAAAGCTCACTACAATCATGATATGGTCAGATGATCCTAGATCGTAGGTAAGGTTAAGTCGCCATGGCCATACCACACTTTCGCGTTTGTGCTCTTTACACGCTTTCCCATACAGCATTACAAGTCAACATACAGAGGGTGGTCCACAGGCCCTTTTCTTTATTTTGCATACACTGTACCGCATGCATGCGTGCGGGCGGGTTGCATACTCGCACGGAGCCATAAGGCACCATGGTGATCGACAGTAGGAAATCCCGCCCGCACACAATGCAAGTAGTACAGTATAAGCAAAAGAACGAGAGAAGGGGGTCTGTGGGCCAGCCTGTAGTACGTTCGTGGACCTAACCAAACTACTGTGCCGGGGCCGTGGCCAGCTGCAACTGAAACAGGCAGTTGCTTGCTCTGAATGGTGACTCTTTCTTTCCCGTGAAGCAAAAACTCTACGACACTCCAGAGGTCATCGTGGATCTGTCGGAGGACATCGGCCATCCTGTCGCCCCCCTCCACTGCCACGCCTCGGGTACGGCGGCAGCCCCAGCCCCCAACGACGAGCAGCCCTCGGCCGAGAGGGGCCTAGCGAGCACCTCAGCAACCCCCGCGAGTACGCCAGCGAGTGCGCCAGCGAGTGCGCCAGCGAGTACGCCAGCGAGTGCGCCAACGAACACTCCGGGGAGGGCCGCCGCCGCCGGGGGTGACGGTGCTGAGGAGGCGGGTGACCGTGAGCCGGGTCGCCGGAGGCCCCGGCTGCGGCGCCCGGGACCGCGTTGGGACAGGCAGCTGGGCCGCAGGGTGCGCTACTGGCTGGCGGACGGGTCGTGCCGCGCGGCCTACGAGGCGTTCCTGGGCGAGGGCGACGCGCTCGGGGACTCGCTGATGGCCGGGGCGCGTGGGGCCCCGCGGAAGCTGGCCGTCGAGTGAGTCGAGACATCGCATTCCTGCTGGCGTGGCGTGGCACTGCCACACAACGACGTCGAAACGATACCGTTTCGTTATTCGTCTGTCGTCTGTCGTCTGTCGTCTGTACCCACCGGGTGACCGATCCTCTGACTCGCAGTCCGCGCGACGCCCCCATCAAGAGCTCGCCGCTGTGCTGTCCGCGGGCGCTGTGGAGCCTGATCGCCGCTTGCTCCCGCCGCCTGCTGCGCTCTCTCAAGCTGTGGGCGTGGTGAAGAGCCCCACGCACGTTGTGCTCTTCTGAAATAAATAAAGTGAGGAGTGATCCGACCTGCGGGAGATTCGGTCTGGTCCTTAAACGCTTGCTTCGCGTCACTTAGTTACCTGCTCTTGTCTCAAAAGACCTGGATGTGTGGGGAGCGGGGGGGGTCATGATGATGATGATGACGACCTGAGGGCGAATGTCTTGGTGCTGACGGCGGGTCCTTCGAGGCGCGCACAGCACAACGCTACCGGACGGCAGGGTCCGCCCCGCCTGCCAGCCCACTCTGCGCCGTGCGCCAGCGTGCGAGGGGTTGCCTGCTTAAAGGCGCCAAGTCCTGCGCGCGGCCCAGCGAGGACCCTCGCCGCGCCCTCTCAGAGGCAGAGGTCCGACGGGACAGACCAACGGCCACTCTGAGGAGGACGGCCATCCTGCCTGAGGTGGGACAAAAGAATACGTCGAACCCCAAGATGATGCTAGTTTCTCTTTCATCCAAACCCACGAGCGTTTGTCTTCAGAATGTGCTCTGATGGCGCTCTCTGATTTGAATTACTTTCAAGTGACCTCTCCGTGTCCCCTCAAAAAATCCTGATTGTTTTGCGAATACGTGAGGGCGATTCTTAATGCCATCGGAAAGTTCGCGAGGAATGCACTTTGAAGTCGTTAGTGACCCGTATCGCAATGAGGCACAATGACGGACCAACTCAGTGATGAGTTACGGCGGAAAAATCCTCGGATTTCACCGCTCATTTCCAGCAGGGGACGGTGACCAGCAAGGCAAGCGTCAGCCATGAAAAAAGCAATCACAATTATTTTCACGTCGTTTGCACATGTTTTGTGCGTTGTTGTTTTTTCTTTCCTTGCCTTTTCTGTTTTGAAAAGATGCAAGTTCACGTTAGTTGCTTTAAAAAGCATTTTCACAACTACTTTTTTGGATCATTTTTCTCACGAAGAAGTTCATCGTTTTAAAACATACATGGTGTCCCATAGAGGCCTCTTACTTTTGTTTACACTCACTGCAAGCAGTCGTGCAGGCGGGCTTGCCTACCGCCCCCCCCCCTCACCGCGGGCCCTTATGGCGCCGATCGACTAGGCAACCCAGCTAACACGACTGAACGCGGTACAATGAACATAATACATAATGTACTGGGGGTCTATGGGAAACCCTGTACATCTTCAGTTGAGACAAAGAAGACAATCGCTTGCTCAGCAGCGCTAACACGGCTCGCTGGCCCGCTGCGGAGTGGAGGAAAAGGGAGGGGGAGGAGTGCAAGTACTCGAGTACTTACTGGGAGGGAAAACAGCCGGCAGGCTAACGACCTGGCAACAGCAATTACAGCGGAGGACGGATACCCAGCGGGCACCAAAGCTTATCGTCAAGACAAATCGAGACGCCGGGTGCGGGGATCGTCCCGAATATGACGACTCTCGGAGCGCATGAGCGCGCGGGGGCGGGAGGGTGACGGTGACACGCTCAAATTACGCGCGGTTGTTCCCGTCGGTACGCGGCGTACCGTAAATGCGGCAGAGGAGGAGGAGGAGTGTTGTGTTTCGGTGCGTCACGCGTCGCAGGAGCAGCGAGCGGGAGAGCGGTTAAAGGCGGACAGAGAAGGAAATCCCTGGACACACACACGCACGCCTGGATGCAAACACCGAGTGGCTTGGTGACAAACACCGTGAGGGCCGTCGTGTAATGCGCGGAGCTTCCCGAAGACGCGGCTGTCTACCGCAAGCCTGAATATATCCTAAGAACTTAAAACTGTCGTACCAAACATTGTGCTGAGTTCATTCATTTGATCAACAGCGGGATGACGACGATGATGACGGCAGGGTGTTGTTTTTCGGCACGATTATCGTACGAGCAGCGACATTTTAAACTATACAATAATTTGTTTTTTAGTTTATCGCCAGGAAAGAGAACTTGGATTTGTAAGTGAAAAGATAATTTATCTTGCAATGCTAGGTCACGACTTGTCGTTCCTCGGGCTGCCCGCCCATGCCGCTCGTGCCGCCGGTGGCCGCTGCGCCCGTCGGGTGCCGGCTTGTCTCTCTTTGGCCCCGCCCGTCGTATCGCCCACACCACCCTCACACCCTCAAGGCGGTGGACTTCCCCCAGCAGTCCGCGATATTTCTGCCGGATCCGCCCCCCAGTGAGTCAGCGAGGCAAAACACACTGGCTGCTTGTTCATTACACAGGTGTGTCGTGGCGTGGCGCGGAGGGGAGGGGGGGGGGTCGACCCGATACACAACCACCACACGGCCTGGACGTCGCCGCAGGTGCCGCGGGCCACGCGGGGGTACGTGATACCCGGAGACAAGACAGCGCGCGCATGCGTCGCGCCCCGCCGCGCCCCGCCGCGCCACCACCGCGCCACCACCGCGCCCAGGTGGAGGAGGAGGAGGAGGTGGCGGGTCAGCCCGCCGCGCGCCACCGCCCGCCTGCAGGCGAGCCGACACCGGCGAGGCAGCTCAAAATCTTGCCGGTCGTCTCGAGGAGAGGAAGCACCGCGCCAGCGCCCCGCTCAGCCGCACCGCGGCCGCCGGTCCAGTCAGCGGGCACGAGCAGTGCCCACCACCCGCACCCCCAGCCGGCCCGCTACACATGCGACAGGGGAGGACGTCGCCGAGGAGCTGCTCCTGCTGAGACCCAAGAAGGCCGCTGCCGCTGCTGCTGCTTACCGGCCACGCCATGATCCTCAGGTACGTCCACGAGCTCCGAGTCTATGGCAGTTTACGCGACTTGCTTGCATTCCTGCACCGGCTTGGCCGGCTCGGCCGCCGTCGCGCGTCGGTGTCAGAAAGAAAGCGAACAACATGCATAATAAAGTAGTTCAGTGTTGCACCCCGAGGAGTTCGGCCGCCAGCAGTGGGGAGCGCGCCGCCGCCGGTGTGCACGCTCCCGCGACTGAACGCGTGCGCAGCCTTCAGCGGCTCTGCTCCGCCGCAGCTGCTAGAGTGAGCGCGCCTGGACCGTTCCCAAAGTGCCTATTGGGACACACCCACTTTTTATTTTTTCTGGAGCCCATACCGCGGCGCGGCGGCGGCGCGGGGTGTTTGGCTTGGGTGGCCGTGACTGCATCCTCGTGCGCGCGGCAGAGACTAAATATCGTGCACCACGTGCGCGTCCGAGAGCGCGTATGGGCCTCGCGAGAGACAGGGAGCGGCGCGGAGGGCGGAGGCTGCGGGAAGAGCGAGAGGGCGCAAAATCGCTGGAAACAACCGGTCTTTTTCGTGCCCGTATGCGCCCGCGCGCTTCGGGAGCAGTAGGCGTGGCGCGCCGTGCCGTGTCTCGCATGGATGCATGCCCTTCCCCACCCGACCTCCCCCGAGTGCGTGCGTGGTGTGCGCATGTTGCCACGGTTCACCAGGGTCGAAGATTTTTTTTGAAACGAGGTTTTGATGACGTGTTGAGTATCTTACTTAATATACCGGCTGGCCCACAGACCCGCCCGGAGAATGTTTTTGCCAGTCTGTACTGCATGCAGCTGTTCGGGCGGGCTTGCCTACCGTACCTCCCTCCACGGCGTCTTTACCGCCCCTTGCGAGTAGGCAACGCGTCCACACGCGTGCATGCGGGTCACTATAACTACAAAGTTCCCTGGTGTCTGTGGGCCACCCGGTGTGTTACAACACAAACGCGAAAACACATTTCAAAAGAGACAGTACCCGAGCGGTATCGCTGGTTAATTTTCCATTTTTACCTTTCCCCTCTCCCTCTCCCTGGATCATCACCTGATTGGCGCGTGTTCTCGCCGATGATGGCTGGATGAGCTCGTGTGTTATCACTTCGGAAACGGTGGTGTGGTGGGAATGCTGCCGTGTTGCAGAGCAAGAAGTATTTGTTAAAATATTTCACGCCTTGCCACCCCACTCGTTGTCTAATCCAATCGATCGTTGCACCTCTCTTCCTTTTTCATTTCCGCGTCGGGTTTTGTAAGTGACGGCGGCAGGTTCCCGCGACACGCATCCCAAAGCAAAGCAGAGCTTGGCCTGGCGGGCGGGCAAGACAGGCCACGACACCTGCAAAAATATGTTTTTAATTTAATTTAAAACGTGGATCAACTATATTTTTTTCAAAGTTTTAGTTTGGACGAGACCAGCTAATCTTGGAGCATTTTTTCAAGTCGTTTTACCAAGTGGCTTATTTTTTCAGCTCTGTATGTAGGCCGGAGAGTGATATGGTGTCGTTCAGAGCAGGCCGTAGAGAGGCAGGCCGGGGCAGAGGCGAGGGAGACGATGATCAGCGCCGCCGCGAAGGACGACCGCTCTCCTCTGAAGGACGACCAGGGAAATCCCCATTTGTTTTGGTTGTTGACGTCCGAACTGATGTGAGGAGAAAGTTCGTCACGTGTTTACTCCTTTCTCCTTAGCTTGTCTCAACTCAAGCGCAGTCGTAGTTTTAAGGTTCTACAAAAAACAAAAGCAATAACAAGATAAAGCTCACCTCAATAACCGTCTACTTCTACTAAGATCTCACGTTTTATTCTGCTACCGCTCTGAGGAACTGAACAGAGATGTGAATGACGGGATAATAACGTGTGTAGTATGCATCTCATATTGCACCTGGTGCGCGTGGTGTGGTCTCTGCCCACTGCTTTACTTTGAGTGCAAGTAAGTGAGCCGGGCGACAAACGTTCGGAAATGCCTTTTTGGTCTCCCACTCTCGTTTCGGTTCCAGTCGAGGGAGTCATACCCCGGGGCAAAGTGGAGCAAGGGGCGGGCCGGGGGGCAGTTATATAGAGGGGGCAGGAGGAAGCGGGCCCGTGCGGACGTGACAGGGGCGAAGCGTGGCGGCGTGACGGGGCGCGTGACGGGCGTGTGCGTCACTGCGCCCCGCTTGGGCGCCTGCTTGGGGGTGCCGCTTAGAGGCCCACTTGGGGAACCCGCTGGGGACCCCACTGGGGACCCCAATAGGGACCACTTGTGCACATTGGGGTACCCGTTCGAGACCCCTCACGTCCTCCGGTCCGGCTGCCCTGTCTGCGAGTGCGGGTGTCACGTCGTAGCCCTGGGGGTGGGACTCCGCGAGACTCTGGTGGCCATCCCGCGCCCTCCCGACGTTGCGCTGCATCCCCGTCTCGACATCTGTTTCCCCACCCACCTTTCTCGGCAGCCCCTCTCTCTGGCCACGGACCGGTGCAAATAAGCCATGTGTGCGCCTTTCCCATGAATGACCTTCACATCGCACATCGGGAACCTGCTGTCCCCTCCGTCCGCAACTGGACGCGATGGTTACGCCAACATTTAGTGCACACAATGCGCCCAATGGCCCGGGGCCTGACGTGACGTGAGTCGTACGGCGGTCCTGTGTGTGTGTGTGTGTGTGTGTGTGTGGTGGATTGGGCAGCACCTGCTGTCCTGCGGGCTAGGTCAGTGGATCACTGCGCAGTCATGATCAGCCTGATCCAATTCGCCCTTTCATCGACAGACTGCATGGGCCATAGAGGGTTGCCGCCAGCGCGCGCGTTTCCGGGGTCCCACAGCAGTAATTCCTCATGTTCACCTTTCGCCGAATCAATGTCTGTCTTTACAATGCAACCCCCGCACAGTCACAAACCAAATGCCTATGTCCATGCATTTCCCCGAATACCAACCCGGAACCGGCATTCTACGAAAACCACATGTTCAGTTTGATTCATTCTTAGATTTTCTGACTTGAATTTTAAAAGTGTCCTGCTTGCACGCATTTCCTTTGCGCCATTTTATATTTTATTGATTCCGTCATTTTTGCGTGCCCTACAGATCGTCCGCCTTGGTGGCGCTGCTGACGCTGCTGGGGGGCGCGCTGTCCCTGCACCCCACCATCCCGTCGCTCTCCAGGCGCTCCATGGAGGTGATCGCCGAGTGGCGCACCGTGGACTTCGCGTACCCGAACCGGGTGGTGCGGGACTCGGCCATCCTGACGGGGGACTTCGTGCCCAACAACGTGGTGGTCCTTGACGTGGACGCTTACGGAGAAGGTACACAAACACGTCCAGAAAGACGACGTTAATTTTTAATTTAATATTATTTTTTCCGCTGTCTGGCGAGGAGGGGGCAATATCGTTCCGTTCCACTTGGCAGCGCGGCGGGACAGCCGACACTGCTGCTTAACGAACAACCTGCAATTTAGGCGCGGTAATAAATAAGACAAAGAGCCGAGCGCGTCCCTTCAAAACTGACGAAAGACAAAGACAAGTGAAAAAAGTCCAATCTTAACTTATTACATTTTAGCATATCAACGACCGCAACAAAAACATCAAAAGTAAGCTTGGGAACCCGGCGTTGTGACGATTAGAGCCAGTCATGTTTACCTCGCAGGAAAGGAAACCGTCAACTGACCGGCGGGGCGGTGGGGGCGATGCGGAGCGGGGCGGAG